ATACAAAGCAACAGCAGCAAAAGAATGGAGCATGAGGTGAAGTCTAGAGACATCAAACCAGGTGCAGTTCCATAGTCCTCAGTCCTCAATAGGGTGGCAACACGTGAAATGCTGCCAATCAGGGAGCTCTTTAGCTTCTCGGTGCCCAGGGTTTTTACTAGGGGCTGGTCTGTGGGCCCTCTGCCTGGAAAATTCCAGAATCCCAGAAGGAAGGCAGGTATTCAGCATTAACCATGTTATTTTTACAGATAGTTTAGGCAGGGTGAGCCAGCTGCTCCGGTCAGGGCATAGTGGGAACACTCCTGAATCCTCAGTTCCCAGATGCCAGCCAAGAGCCCGCCTGATAGCAGCCCTTCTTGCATGTTAACTCTTTTCCACATAAGTAGGTTGTCTTATTAGCATCCCCATTATAGATGAAGGATCTGAAAGGCAGAAGACTGAGTTATTTGCCTAAAGTCCACAGCCAGCAAATAATAGGGCCAGGTACCCAGGCCGGTTGGCTCAGAGCCCTTGCAACCTACTGCTGCCCAAAGCCAACTTCCTAATTACTGAAAGTAGCTTGTAAAGGCATCTGCAGGTGGGAGTTTGCAGGGGAAAATGGAATTCTGAGTTGAGGAATTGAGCAAAAAAGCCCAGAGCTGGGAGAGAATGTGGCATTTTGGAGAGGTGGCAAATAGTTGGGTGAAGTGGGAGCACAGGTTGTCTCATGAGGATGTCAGCAAAGGAGATGGACATTGCAGGACCTGAGTCACATGAAAGGAGGTTGCACTTTTCCCTGTGGCCATGGGGGCGGGAGTGGTAGAAGTGGGGGTGAGTAGCTAGCTATCAGCATCTTTTAAGTTCAAAAGTGGAATTATGGGTTGGGATTTTGGAAGGATCTCCCAGTGCACTTTTTATTTCTTCCTTTATTTGTTCAAATGCCAGCTCCATAACTGACTGTGGTCTTGATCGAGTCATTGACCCCCTGCACACCATGGGGTCTCAGACAGGTTTGAATCCTGCCTGTCCTACCTCACTGGGGGATGGTGAGATTCAGATGCAGTGGTAGCTGTCCCAGAGTCTTGTGGGCAGGAACACAGTCCAGGACAGCAGGCTCACTGTGTAGAGATGGGCTGTTGAACAGGGACGTCTGGGGGTTTGGCTGCCTCTGCAGTTCCTGGGCACTTCTTTCCTGAAGCCATTTCTGCCCTTGGAAATAAGCTCAACCTGCCCTGGGTCACAGACAGGCCTGGAAGTTCCTGCTTCAGGCAGCTCAGGGATTAGTCCAGGCATAAATTGGACCCAGTCTCCTCCCCACTCTGAGAGGGCTCCAAGAACAGAACAGCACCTGAGTGTAAGAGCTGGTGACCTCTTTCTTGAAGGGCATCTGGTGCTGTAGGTCAGATATTTGGTTTGAGTCCCATCCCTGCCTTTCCTTGCCAAATGACCCTGGGAAGTCACTTCATCTGCCTGAGCCTCAGTTTCCATATCTGTCAGAGAGGTAGTAATACCCATCAAAGCGAAGGTCAATTGAATCAGGTGTCGTTTCCAGAGAGCCCCTAGCAGTGGTGAGCAGGAGACCATGCAGGACCCTGACCCAGGAGGGCTCAACAGCTTAGGCTCCCAAGGAGGAATTCTCACAACCATTGTTTCTTAGAAGAACTTGGCACACAGAGTGTTGCAGGGTAGCAGGAGCGGGGTGGTGGTCAGGTAACTTAGGGAATGCCCTTAAGCTGGCAGCCAGGACACTGGGTTTTCATTTCAGCTTCAGTGCTATCTTGCTGTGTGTACAGAAGCAGGGTGTATGTGTCACTGGGGCTCGGTTTCCTCATCAGTTAAATGAGCACAAATAATTTGGCCCAGAACTAAGTTTTACAACTAGAGAAAAAGGTAGTAGTAACATTCTGAACATCCATCGTTTACAGCAAGTGCACAAATCCCCCCCAGATTCCCAAGGGACCTAAATAATTTATATCCAAGCTAGTATGTTTGTAAAGCTCTTTCAGGAGGTCTGGCACCCTATTGCTGTAGAAATCCTTTATTCTGTTGCACTGCTTCTTCCCTGATCCTAACAGACCTATACTTTTAGAAGGCAACTGCCAACATTGCCAGCTCTCTCCCTTTTTAGAAATAAGTTTCTTTCTAAAATATAAAAGTTAGAAAAACATGCGATTCAGGCACTTGAAAATCCCTGCCTTTAACATTTTGATCTTCATCTTTTTGTTTATCTCTGAAAACATACTTACTTATTTATTTGTGTCTGAGACACAGACCTGACTCTGAGAGCACAGTGTGTCCTGATGACCCTAGCCCAACTCCCAGGTGTTTTGGGGAGTGGCCTGTGCAGCCAGCCCTGGTCCCAGGGGGGCAGCAGAACTCTTCCTCTGTGCAGGGATGGGTGGGGCTGCTCATGCTGGGCTGTGAGGGCTGCAGAGAGACGGAAACTCCCTCTGGAAGTGCAGGGAATGGAAGAAATAAAAATAAATGCCACCTGCTGCTATCTTCAATTAAGCACATGGTCCATGTACCCCGAATTCAGCAACACTCCGCACAGATTTATTTAGTCCCTATGTGCCAGGCATTCCTCTAAGACTCCGAGCACATAGTAGTGAACAAGACAGATAAGACTCCTGCCTCGTGGAAATTGAATTGCATTAGGAAGAAACACAATTAGCAGATAAACATATATACGTTTATGGCTTCCCCATCATCACTCCCTGGCCCCTGTGCAGCTTTATTATTCATAGGGCTTAACGGCGTTGGGGGGAGGGGCAAGCAGAGAGGAGAGAGAAGAAGGCAGTGCTAGGGCCAGGAGTGGTTGGGAAGTGAGAAGGAGCTGCTCTAGCAGGGTGAGAAGGTCCTAGTTGAGGAGGAAGGAGGTGACCCACGCAGGCCATTGCAGAAGGATGATTCTGGCAGATGAACACAAAGGCTTAGCTTGTTTTAGAAATGCAAGAGGGCAGTGTATCTGTAGTCTAGAATAGGAGGTTTGAAAAGTGGTGGAAAGCTAGATCTCGCAAGATCTTGTGGGCCCTGGGAAGGACAAGAGAGGGTTGAGGACAGAGAAGTTATCCAAATTACACTTGAGGGTCTATCATGTGAGCAGTTATCCCCTTTCGGGGATGCTCAGAGAATCCACTTACCTAATGAGAGCAGGTGAAGGATGGACCTGGGACCTGAACCCAGATGGTCTGGCCCTGAGCTTGTATGTCTCCCCTGGGCCCCAGGCCTTTCCTCAGCAGGACTGCCTGGCTGGGGGTAGCAATGAAGCCACTTTGAGGGACTTCCCCACCCCCATAGCTCCTCCCAGGCACTGGGGGATGGCTCGGGGGCCTTGAACACCACCAGAACACCTGCTGCCAAGCCTGCCATGCTTCACGACTCACCTTAAGGGGAGGTCCCCACGGCCACTGCAGTATTCATTTTGGTCTTTGAGGCCAGTCGGGGGTCAGCAGTCACAGGTTGTGCTGAATGAGACAGGGTTATGAAGCAGAGAGGACCTGAGTGCTGGGCTCCAGCAAACCCAGGAGCCAGTGTCAGCTTATTGATATGACCTTTAAAACATTACTTGTCAGCCTTGCTCTGCCAGCCTACAAAGCAGAGGTAACAGTACTGACTTGTAGGGTTGTTGTAAGGAATCAAATTTAAATCAGACAGTTGTAGAGTTCCTAGAAGAATGAATAAAATATGGTAGATACAGTATAAATAGCAGCTATCATATTTAGCATTAGCACTTTTATTATATTTTTGTAACCCTTAATAAGTCATCCAACATTAACCCAGTTGATGCTCATAGCAAACTTGGTGAGCTTAGTATTACAATCCTCATTTAACAAGAGGGAAGGAAGGTTAAGAGAGTTTAAGGTTCTTACCCAAAGTCACACAGCAAGAAGGCAGCATAAAAGATACTTGGATCTGGGTATGCTGTTTTCAGGTCTGGGCAGAGTCAGAAGGAAGGTCCGCCTCTCAGGACTGGACTCACAGTTGACTTTCTGCAGCCAGTTCTTCTGCAGCCAGGGGTGCATGTGGCAAGCTGAAGCTCTGCTGGCTTGTTAGAGGTGATTCACTTCAGGGTCATATAGTGTGGTGGGAACCTTCCTGAAAACAGCAGAAGACAGAAGACAGAGCACCTGAGTGTGACAGATGTTACTTAGCAGGCCTGGTTGGGACCAAAAAGGGCCAGTGAAGCTATCATCATTCATGCTGTGCTGCCCTTAGTCAGGGGGTGATGAGCCCCTCTGTGTCTTCCGTGGGGAGCCACCCTTGACAATCAGCCATCACTCAGGAGCCCACACAGCTAAAGGACAGTGACACTTCCCCATGGTCAGCATCCACCTGGAGGCTGGGGAGAATACAGATTCTCAGTCCCCACCCATTGACTCTGAGTCCCTGGAGGTGGGCAGTGCCTGCCCAGCTCTCCAGATGGTCCTGCTGGTCACTCAAGTCTGAGCACCATTGTTTTAGAGATGATAGCCCCAAATGCTTGCCTTTCTTGTTTCTTTACACAAATCAAATGAATGTCTCCCGTTAAAGCAGATGTAGGTCATTGAGTGGGGGATTAAGTGCAGGGGTTGGATCTAGATTCACCTGAGCTCACATTCCTGCTTTCAGTCTTGCTCACTAGTGACCTTGGGCAGGGCCATTACCACTCCCATGTCAGGTTCCTCAAGGGTAGGATGGGAAAGCACTGCCTTCCTCACATAGCCTATTTTGAAGATTTGAGAGAATGGGTGTAACGTGCCTAGGTCAGTGCTGGACTCGTGTCAGTCCTCTTCAGGGACAGCTGTGATTCGATGCACACAGCTGCCATTCAGGTTTGTATATAGAATTGTCCCCCTGATTGCTGTGAGCCAGGCAGACCCCTTGCACATGTGGCTTGCACACTGACCCCATCGCCTGGAAACCATGTCCCGCTGGTCTCACACACAGCTGCACCGAACAGTCACTTTGTGTGTTTCTCTACTCTCCCCCTTCATCGATGCATGACTCATTGCTTCATTCATGTCTCCATGTGTGCGTAGAAACCTAGGCAAGCAGCCATTCCTAGGGACATTGCAGGACAACCTCATTGAGATGGACATTCTCAGCGCCTCCCGCCATGATGGGGCTTACGGTGACGGGTAGGTGACATCCCCATGCTCCTCCTCTCTGTGTGTGCTCTCCTTGTGGCTCCTGCACTTGCATGCATACCCTGAGACCTTTCTCTGGGATCTCCTTGGGGAAACAATGCCATATCACATGCCCATCCCCAATTCCATGTTCAACTTGCAGCAGTTTGTCCTTGGAATCCCCTGTCCTCCAGCATATTAACAGCAGTCTTGTTAATATGCCGTTCTCCCCATCTCATTGGCTGCCTCCACCATTCTGAAAACCATCTCACGTACCAATTTTTATGCAGTACAGGCCATGTATTATATGCATCTGGCCCTAAGTGTGTATTCTGTGGCCTGAGGCATCTTGTACCCCAAGAGGGATGGGTTACCTCCAGGACTAGGGTATGCAGTACATCGAAAGCACTCCATTTCTCAGGCTGTATGCAAGTCCTCCTTGGCCATGGTTAAAGCCAGGCTGGGAAAGATCTCCGGACACCTAGTTTGACTACAACCATGTGCTTAGACCATGCCCCGCTGCCCTCAAAATTGCAGTGAGGCTGTAGGATACAGTCACCCATCTGCCGCCCACACAGCTTTCATGTTGGGGCTCAGAAGGCATCATCCTGGCTTCCAAGCAGATTGCTTTGAAGGCATTCTTAACAGCCACTAGCAGACTCTTGGCCACAGGCAGAACTTAGTGGTGGTTTTTTGGCTTCCAGCCCAACTAAACCCCTTTAAAAAAGTAGGATATTCCAGTCCTTAACCAATGTACACTGGTAATGCAAGTTATTGGAAGAAGAAGAAAAAATTTAGATCCCGTATTCAGCGCCTCAGGAACAGACAGGATTTTAGACACTTTCCAAGTTACTTCAATAATTTCAAAGAACAGATAGCTAATTCCCCAAGCTACTCTAAGCACCATCGATTCCCAGGAAAAGGACCTCATGCCAGCCTGGGTTGAGTGGGTAACAGTTTCTGCCCTGGCTTCGGTGGGGTTGTCAGAGGTAGGGCTGTCCCATTCGTGTTCCCTGGAAACCTGTCTTCGTGCCCGTTCTGTGATCTGGTTTGTGACTCTCCTCTTCCTGTCCCTGCCATTTTCTCTGTGGTGACTCTCTCTCTCTCCAGGCCCTCTGCATGCTTCTCCTGCGGCTTCTGTCCTGCAGGTCGAGCCGGGCGCCTCATCAGCTGGCAGACCCTGACGCCCTCTGGCCTCTCTTCATCCACAGGCACTTCCTCTTCAAGCCTGGAGGCACCTCCCCACTCTTCTGCACCACATCTCCAGGGTACCCACTGACGTCCAGCACCGTGTACTCACCCCCGCCCCGCCCCCTGCCCCGCAGCACCTTCAGCCGGCCAGCCTTCAACCTCAAGAAGCCCTCCAAGTACTGCAACTGGAAGTGCGCAGCCCTGAGTGCCATCGTCATCTCGGCCACACTGGTCATCCTGCTGGCGTACTTTGTGGGTAAGTGCATCCTCATCCCAGCTCCCCATGGCTCCCCTTTGGCCCAGAGGGCAGCAAACAAGGTGCCTGTGGGCACAGAAGCCTCCTTACCAGCACAGCTGTCACAATACACAGGATGAGTAGCCTTGGGGTGCTGAGCTAGCCTGCACCCCAAACCATCAGGCTCAGCTCTTTGGGACCCTCCTCCCCTCCCCTCTGCACTTAGACCAGGAAGAAAGCTGAGCATCTGTCCCGTATGTGCTGAATACCTATCACAGATGCATAGACACCACTAAGATCAGCCTCTGAGGTGATGGTCTGTGGCATGAGTGTCATAGATTGGAGTTACTGAAAAATAAATGGCAAATGGAGAGACTGGAGAGAAAGCAGCAGGTGGCTATAGTGAGGAGTAACAAAGGGGTGGAGCATCCCAGCATTGGAGGGAAACTGCCAGGGAAGCCTGTCAGCTGGGAAGGGTCTGGCATGGTCATCTGAGGGTGTCAGAGGGACCAAGATTAGTGTTGAAGCAGGATCAGGAGCCCAGAGAAATCCCAACTGAGGAGCCATGTGTGCCAGTGAGCAGACTGAAGGAAGCACAGAGACTTGGAGCCACACTGGCTTCTTGCTGCTTACCCCATCCCAGGGCACGGACATGATGTCAGAAACTCCTCCTGATCCACTTTCTTGGTCTTGCTCCCAGACAAGCTCCAAATCTGAGTTCTTTTGATATATTTCTATCACAATCTGGTTTCCATCTTCAGACCCTCTCTTTGGTCTTCTCCCAGGAAAAGATTAATCTGAAGAGATCTGTGGGCATTGTGTAGACTCTCCACCTCTATGTAACCCAACCAATTAGTAAAGGCTTAACCTTCTGTGTCCTTTCTAGCCTTCAGGTTCTATGATTCTAAGACTTAAGGTCAGGCCAGCTCAAGAAGCCCTTGAACCCAGACTAAGGAATTCAGGGACAATTCTGTAAACAAATGTTTTGTTGTTTGTTTTTTTTTTTTTTTTCCCTAACATAAGCCAATAAGTAGAAATAGAACTAACTGGCAGAGGCCAAAGGAAGACAGAGTGCCATCCACTGTGAAAAAGAACCCGTAACTAGCAAAGTCATTGTGAGTGAAAAGTGAGGCTTGGCTTGAGAGGTAGACAGTGCTGGCACTGAGAGTGATGGCCTCCACTTGTTCTGGAGAAATGGCTTGAACATGGATAGGGTCTAGGTAAGGATGTAAGCTCCAAGGTCTTTTGGCCTCCACTTGTTCTGGAGAAATGGCTTGAACATGGATAGGGTCTAGGTAAGGATGTAAGCTCCAAGGTCACTTCTCCTCAAGATTTTTGAATTTCATAAAAACCAGTAAAGAGAAAGATGATAGTCCAGCAAATAGGGAAATCTTATATCTCACACTATAATAAGCCTCATTGGGTATGACAGGTCTCTTTTTCCTCTTTTAAAGATAGGCTCAGAGAAATGCGTGGCTCCAAGGCAGGGATGGCACACATGTTTAATCTTTTCTTCTATCTAATTGATTAGTTGTTATTACCTAGAACGTTGTGTTGGGAAGGATTCTGAGGTTATATTCAGATTCAGAAAGAGTGTCTGTGATTGATTAGTGATGTCTGTCACAGTTGCAGGAGTAGAGAATATAGATGACTTACCACTTATTTGCCATTCCTGCTATGGGTCATTAGATAAAAGGAACAGCCAAACTGGGAGAGGTCAGGGCCACTCAGGCTCTCTGAGAGGTGCATCATTGATGTAGCCTGGATCACAGGTGAGGGTTGTGGAATTCATGAACATTAGAAGTATGTCGCCACCACCTCAATCCCTGACATAGCCCTCCCTTGCTTTTGTGATATTATTGTTTCCCTAAATGAGTAGACTATTAGAAGGCACTGTCACTGTTCAAGACCAAATAGTTTGCAACATATAGACAGCAATATTTTGCATTGAAGCCTTGAGATTTATACCAAATAGTTGCTTTAATCAGCTTTTGCATTGCTGTGACCCAAATACCTGACAAGAACAATTTAGAGGAGGAAAAGTTTATTTTTTTTTCTCATGGTATCAGAAGTTTCAGTCCATAGACAGCTGATTTCAAAGCTCTGGGCCCAGGACGAGGCAGAACATCATGGGGGAAGGGTACAGCAAAGGGAAGCTGTTCCCCTCATGGTAGCCAGGAAGGGGGAGAGAGAGAGAGAGAGAGAGAGAGAGAGAGAGAGAGTGTGTGTGTGTGTGTGTGTGTGTGTAGGGGCCACAGGGCAGATGAACCCCTCCAGGGCATGTCCCCAGGCCCCACCTGCCTACTATTACTATTCAGTCGATTCAAGCTAGGGTGGACTGATTGGGTTACAGCTCTCATAATCTAATCATTTTCTCTGAATATTACTGCATTAACAGGAACTTTTTGAGGAGATCTCATATTCAAACCATAACAGTAGATAATTTTAGGGAGGAGGAGAAAATTTTTATTGCTAAGAAAACTATTTTTCATTCCATGGGCTTCTTCTTCCATTTTATAAGAATACTTGGTCAATCTTCAGCTAAATAAAAACGACAGGGCTAATTATGGGGAGTAGTGAACTCCCTGTCGTAGGAAGGGTACAAGTGAGCTCAATGCCCATTTAGCAAGCATAGGATTCAGGCACTGAGAGAATTTTTACTAAGTGACCATTAATTTCCTTTCCAACATTGACAGTCTTTGAGTCTTTAATGATTTTGTGAATCTTACTTTTCATTCAGCAAGCCATACCTGCTTTGAGCCGGGCACTATGCTAAGTGCTGGGATTCAAGGTAAGGTTGATAGCTTAAAAGAGGAGATAGTCATGTTAGCAGGTAAATCAAGAATGACTGATGGACACAGCAGTTCAGAGGCTGTGGGAGCAACAATCCCCAGCTGGGAAAGGTGATGATGTTTGTATGGAATCTTAAAGTAGGAGTTTTCAGAAGTAGGCATGCAGGAGGGTATTTTAAATCAAGAGAACATGCAGAGACTTAAAATAGGACCATGCTGCAGAAAGGGTTCTTGAAGTGCTTCAGGACTGGGGTACCCCTTGGAGCTAATATACAAATGTTTTGTCAGATTTATGAAGATCACCTTGAAGTCCAGCTGAGCACCTTATTGGATGGGCAGTTGGGGAGTCATTGAAGGGTCATAAGCACAGTAGGGCATAGCCAGATTTTTATTTTACAAAGATAAGTGTAGAGGAATGAAGGGGCAGAAGGCAGAGCTCTTAGTCAGAAATAGCCAATGGCTTCAGCAAAGACAGTGACAGTGTAGGTATAGAGAGGAGGGGGTAGACAGATCTAAGGTCACTTTAGGAGAATTTGTGTCCTAAGTTAGAAGTAGTTTGTTCATTATATCCTTCTGATAAAGTTGTATCTATGTAGAAATCTTAAGACAGGACTCAAGTGATCACACCCAGGGATTAGGTCAAAGAGGCAAGCCTGGGCAGGGTGCAGTGGTGCATGTCTGTAATTCCAGCAACTTGGGAGGCTGAGGCAGGAGGATCATGAGTTCAAAATCACCTCAGCAACTTAGCAAGGCCCTAAGCAACTCAGAGAGACCCTGTCTTTAAATAAAGTATAAAAGTAGGGCTGGGGATGCGGCTCAGTGGTTAAGTGCCCCTGGGTTCAATCCCCAGTACCAAAAAGGAAAAAAAAAAAAAAAAGAGGCAAGCCTGGAGACACAGCAAGGACTTGGGGAAGCACCTGGCCCCAGTACCTAACAGCCCTGGATTCCTTTCCCCGTTCTACCACCAGGCAGCTGCTCTGCCCCCCTCCACACCCCTCCTCTGGGGACCTCACTGCTCTGCCTGAGTTCTGATCTCCTCATCTGGAAAACATGTATGACCACAAATGTAGGAGGATGCATGAGAGGCCGCAGTGAGTTTCTGTAGGTGAATGCATTGCAGGTGTGGGGCCAACCACCCTTCCTCCAAGAGTGGGGTGGTGTCAGCCTACATGCCGGTTCCCTCCAGCTGCTGGGCCAAAGAACCAGCGTCTTGTTGCTTGGCTATAATTACAGGCTGTGATGACTAACTTATAAGGAACTATCAATTATTAAAAATCAAATTAATTGTCTCAGCCAAGCACAAATATCCTTAACAAAGACCCTTTTCCAGCAGACCAACTGATCTAATCAACAGGCAAAAGCACAGATATTTAATTAGATTTTTGATGAAAAATTGTGTTTAATTTCAAGTATAATCAATTATTAATTACTGTAATGAGTGAATCTGACTGGGTTTACTAATTAACTCATTTAAAAATTATGAATAACCTTTTCATTTGTAATTATTTTATACATCCTATCAAGTTCTAGATAAGAATCGCATCACACCCCCAGAACAGGGGGAGTCAGAAACAGAGAGTCCAAAAGAATTTTTCTTTTGCTGGTATCTGCCCAGGGCTGCCATATCTGGATGGTAATCCTGTCAGATCCATTTGACGTTCAGTTTCTTTATTGGAAGTTTCTTGAGAAATGAGCAGCCAGTGACCTTTCAATTGCAGAGCTATTTACTGGTATTTTCATGAGAAAAATAGAGAAATCAGAGTGAGCACTTCCCACCCACAAAGGCAGCAGAAGGAGGGTCTTGCCATCTCTTCCCTTCCTACCCTGAGTTACTTGGCTTACCTGGCCTGGGGTGGGATCTGGGGAGGACCCTCTGGCAGTTGTAGGATCTCTTCAGGTAGAAAATGTACATTTTTGCTCCAAAGGACACCTGCCCTCTTGTTAAGTGAGGCAGCCATTGAGGATGAGTTTCCTCCTTTCATTTGCTGCTTCTCCCTGTTCCAGTTTTCTGGCCCTTGTTGGTCTCCACTTAAGTGCCCTTGCTTTTCCTTTCCTGAAGAGATCTGTTCGCAGAACAACATGGCCGAGAGTTATAAGTGGAGAAGACAAGTTTTAGGTCAACCTGTGAAACTTGTGCAGCCATTGTAATAATGCTTTATTTTACAGAACATTATTGTTTTAAAAACATTTTCCAGGGGCTAAGGATGTGTTGTAGAGTAATAAGAATAA